TATAAACATCAAAGAAATAGAACCCGACGTTAGTTGCTGTGGTGTTTCATATAATGTCATTGACAAGATATAACGTTATGAAAGGAGGTGAACGTTGAACTTAAAATATAGTTTCCCAGACGTTATAAAATATTTGACGACCAAACATTTCATTAAAATTTATTTGCTAAGTAAATGGCAGAAGACACAATGGTTTATACTATTACGACTAAAAACCCTGAGTCATATAATTCTATAACAACAAACTTACAAAGTCCTCAAGGACGATATTGTAAACTAACTTTAAACACAATGACGACTAAAGCTTTTTTGCTCTTTTGACACCAGAAGATTTTATTGTTGTGAATGGTAAAAAAATACTCCTTTGAAGATACTTACTCAGATATACCACCAACAGGTTTTGTTGACTTATTTAATACTTTAAGGACGAGTGTAACATGTGCTGCAACTAGAGCAGGTTTCATTATGTTTGGATGTCCGACTGAGTTTACTATAAACAATATGAGCTATAATACAAAAACTTATATCTGGTTTTTACTACCAACAGTTTCCTATAACAGGAAAAGGTGTCATACAAGGAATGTCTGTTCCATTGACTTTAAGTACACCTATTTTATATATTGTTTCAAACTTAGGTTCAAAGTGTTATTCGAATGTCGACAGAACTACTATGACCAAAAAGATACTCATGCGTATAAACAACACTTTCTCTGCTGGTTTGCCTATTGTTCATTCGAATGCAGAGTTTTCAACCTTAGTGAACTCAAACACTTTGGCAAGTATAAACTTAAACTTAGTTGACGCAAACTTTGTTCCTGTAAATTTTATGTCCTATGTATTTGTCAATGACGGCAGAAAGTTTCGAATTGGAAGATGCAACTGGTGAAAGTATTGTATTACAGAACAACTTCAACAACAAATAGCTCAAGAACAACAAATGCAACAAATGGAAAAATGGAACAAAGTCAAGAATAAAAAATATTTTTTTTTATTTTTATAAAAATGTACAGAATAGACGTTTCAGATTTTATGACTTCCAAGCCTTCAGAAATATGTGTCCATTTCGAGACTATAACAAAGCAGCGACGAGAATTTGAAACGTTTAGTCATTTATGTTGACTCTGCCCCAGAATGTTATGTCATGAAAGAATGGGATGTTGTCTTTAACAAACCTAAAGCGACAATAGTTTCAGAACAAGAATGTAAACAGAAACTTAAGAAAATAAAAGTCGTACAAGTTGGTATGAAGATGTTAGATGCTTGGGATATCTTATTGTCAAAGTTAGAAGATTTTCAGTTCGTGGTATAAAGTTCTATACACATCTCCAAACTTCTATTCTATCTTCACTGGATATAAATACGAACAAGTAGAATGGAAAGAAAATGTTATAGAAGCTTGGTTAGACCATGTCAAAGAAATTATATGCAATGGAAACGAAAGAGTCTATGAGTATATCTTATGTTGGTTTGCAAACATCTTCTTACAACATCCAAGTGCTAAAATGAAACTGCTCTCATTGTAATTGGAAAACAAGGAACAGGTAAGAACACTTTCTTTACAGATATTTTGTGCAAACTGTTAGAGGCTATTCGAACCCTAATATGACAAACTTAGAAAACATCTGCGGTAAATTTAACTCTTCAATAGAGAATATGAAACTTATAGTATGTAACGAACTTCAAAGTATAGATACAACAAAGGTTTTGAACTCGGATGCTTTGAAGAGTCTTATAACAGACAAAGTTGGAGTTGTTGAAAGAAAGTATAGAGACCAAAGAGTTTGTGAAAATGTTGCAAACTTCGTCATGGTTTCAAACAACGCTGTTCCGATGAAGTTAGAAAGTTCTGAAGAAGATATGTAGTTGTCAGAACGTCAGAAGCTCATATGCAAGATACAGAATATTTTGACGACTTAGCAGAAAACTTTGACATCTGACTTTTACAACCACTTGTTCTCATATTTCATGACATTAGATATTTCTAAGTTCAATCCAAGACAAATTCCACATACCGAAGAGAGACAAACATTGTTAGAAGCAAACAAGAGTGTATATGAACTGTTCATAGAAGAAAGCGACTTTGAGTGTTTAGATGAAAGGTCATTGTACGACTCGTATAAACAATATTGTCAAGAGTATGGTTATATGACAGCGTCTAAACGAACATTCTTGGCAAATGTCAAAAATCTTTTAGATGTTCAGAATGGTGTATATACAAAGAAAATTTTTCTGAGTAAATTTTAAAAAAAAATATTTTTTTTATCCGATAGAAAAGATGGCAAAATTCATCTCAGTAAACAAGTACATGACAGAAGTCAAAGAAGAACTAGACCCATTCACATATTTGAATGTTTACTTCTACCATTTTGAAAAGTCTTCATTCAGCAAAGTTTGGAACATCGAACCAGTTAAGTTTGCTATTGTGACTAAAAATGGTGCGAAATTTGAAGACTTAGACATAGAAGGTTTGTTAGCAGTCAAAGAAAGTTTTGACAGAAGGTTCTCAAACCTTAAAGAAGGCAAAGCATACAAACTTGTTATACCTTATGAACCAAAGAAAGCAGACGACTATGAATATTATGAGTCTAAAGTTGTAGAAGTTCAAGGTAAATTGGGTAAAAGATTTTAGAGTCTAAGCCAGTGTTTGCTCCTAAAGAGGAAGAGAACATTGACATTGACCCAGAAATGTTCTAAAAATAAAATTTTATTTTTACATGTCAAATTTCTTTTTCTCTGGCTCTGGTTCTTTCTTCTCTTCTTCTACTTTCTTTTCTTTCTTTTCTCTCTTCTTCTTTTCTGGTGGAGTTATGTCAAATTTCTCCGAACCATATTTATGTAAAAGTTCTTTGTCCTTTAATAGCTCTTCTATTCTGTTTTCTATTTCATCTTCAAGAACAGTGCATGTGTCTTCTTTGCATTCTAAGAAGTTTTGTTGGACTTCATCTCTCCAAGAGGCGTCATCTCTGTCAACAAGTCTGTCATTGACAAATTTTAAGACTTCTCTGCTTAATGTTTTATGGTTCTTGTCATATTCCCAGAAACAGAACTTTAGAACAAATTCACCTTTCTTGTTTACACTATGTAAGATTTTATGGTCGACAGATGTTTTGCTGTCGAAAAGCTTGTCTCGAATATAGATAGCGAAATCGCTAGACATTTTCTAAAAGATAAAAATTTTAATTTTTCTAAAAATATGTTAGAAAAAAGTTTGCTGACATTGACAAAAAATTTGAGAATGTTTTAAACAAGAACAAGAGGAAGTTGGAAAATGCTCAGATAAAACCCATACATGACAAGTTCTTATTTGCTCAGAATGGTATAACAGGTCTAATTGCACCACCTGGGTCGGGTAAGACTTTCACTTATCTTAAAATGGCTGCACAACAACAAGAACTAGATGAGAAGAACCCATTCTATGAGTTAGTTGTCATTTGTAGTACTTCGGGTCAATTTGACCAAACCGTCAATTCGTTCAAAGATATTATAAAAAAGTCTAAGTTAGTATGTATAAAAGACTCTGAGTTGTTAGATTGGATAAAGAAGTACCAAAGAAGAGTTTTGAAGTACAATGCTATAAATGAGTATATAAATTCTAAGTTTAAAGACCCAAATGAGGAAATGCAGAGAATATTAGAGAAGAAACACTTCAGAAACAAACAGAAAGAGATAGAATACATTTCGAAGAAATTGCAATCTTACGATTGGAAGACTTACCCTCATAGGTGTCTTCTTATCTTAGATGACTTTGCTTCTCATCCTTTGTTAAAGAACAGAGAACAAGACATGTGTCGAATTCTTAAGAAGCTCAGACACTTTAACATCTCAGTTGTCATTTGTGTACAGACAGCAAAGAGTTTAAGTAAGGATGTAAAGAGAATACTTACTGACATTGTACTTTTCCCCGGATTGTCCGAAGACGATTTCATGGAACTTATGAAAGAGTCCATGGCAGGTAAGTTTGACAGACATGAACTATGGGAGAAGTACAAAGTCATACAAGACCCTCATACTTCTTTCAGAATTCATATCTACGCGAACAAAGTTCAAATTGTAAAAAGTCAAGCTTGAAAAATAAATGGTTCATTTACTCTGCTTGTTTGAAGTTGTCAAAATACTCTGTTATTTTTTCTTTCAGTAGCGGCAAATCTTCTTTGAAGGTAAGTATTGTACAACCTTTAATATCATAGTGTGTTTGAGGTAACGTATCTTGAACTATCTTTTTAACATCTTCATTTGGTGTCATTGAAATCGGTAAGTTTTCGCGATAGAACCAATTTCTGTCAGATTTGTAAATCTTAGCAAGGTCGTAAAAGCTTTTGTTGTTTCTTCTGACTAAATGCAACATAACCATATCTCTGTCTTCTTCATTTTCCATCTCTTCAGTGTAAATCATATACTTATAGTTCTTTTCCTTTCCTTTTGGTACCGAACGTGGTATTCTTTTCTGTATGTTTTTGTCTTTTGCTTCAATGACTTCATCTTTTGCTTGAAGTTTCTTTTCCATCTCTTCACGTTCTTGTCTATGAATTTCATCTAACATCATGAAAATATAACAAGCGTAACGAGGTGAAGCCCATATTGCAACAGCATTTACAAGAAGTCTATGAACATAATATCCTTTCAAACTATTTGGCAAATTTTTACGATTTTCGTACGGAATCTCGTTCCGCGGTTTTCCGCGGAACGCAAACATATGAGGAAATTCTTCTAAAAGTTCTTTTGTCTGTTGGTTTTCAAACCAATGATGTGCTTGCTTTGTAGAACGAAGAGCATTCAAAATACTTTGCATTTGGTACATGTCGTCTTTGACCGAACGAATGAGACGTAACTGTTTGTTATATTGTATGTACTCGTATTCTTCATTTATGGCTTCATGAACGATAGCAGGTGTTGTGTTCTCTGTTGTTGACATATCTGTCTTTACATACAAAATAAAAAAAATATTTTATAAAAAATTAGCGTTATTTTCTTACTTTCACAAAAGACCAAAAATAAACGCTTTACATGTATTTTTCAGCAACTTCGTCAAGAAGTCTGTAAATATACCATGCATAACGAGGTGAAGCCCACATTGCTATTGAACTAACTAGGAACTTATGAACATATATACCTTTTAGATACAATGGTAAGTTTTGTCTGTCTTGGTACATCTTTTTAAGTTCTACATGTTCGAACTCACTGAGGAGTTCATGAGTGCTATTTAATTCAAACCAGTCTTGTGGTTTCTTAGTATCTGGAGCAAAACATGCTGTCAAAATACTTTGCATTTGGTACATGTCATCTTTGACCGAACGAATGAGACGGAGTTGTTTGTTATACTGAACCCACTTGTATTCTTCATTTATGTCTTCATGAACGATAGCAGTTGTTGTGTTCTCTGTTGTTGACATATCTGTCTTTACATACAAAATAAAAAAATATTTTATATAAAATTAGCGTTATTTTCTATCTTGTATAAAAGACCAAAAATAAACGCTTTACATGTATTTTTCAGCAACTTCGTCAAATAATTTTATAGCTTTAGCTATCTCATCTACTTCGAAAGTTTCTTTACCTTTCGTGGGAGCACCATACATTTTCTCAAACTTTTCAAGTAGTTCTGTTTCAGCAGCTCTCATATCGTTAACAAACGCAACCTTGACTCTATTGACTATACTGTCATATCTTTGAGTTATATTAAATGTTCTTCCTATCTTATATCTCTTTGTATTGAAGTCCTTCGGTTTCTGAACGATGTAAACTAAGCCTTCACTGCAACGTTCAGTATCGAATGAACCATATGTTATGAAGTTATATCCAACAACTGGGTCTAACCATAACAAAACTATTGGTATAAGACTTTTGTCTATAAGATATGCTCTTGTTCCATAGAATGCTACTGATATCATAAGCTCAGGATTTCTTGTCAAAATTTTCTGACTAGAAGCAATTCTAACCCAGTCGAATGCTTTCTTTCCAGATGGAGATATAATGTCTGACAAAGAATATTTCTTGTATTTCTTTGAGTATCTTACGTCTAAATCACCTATTCGAACCACTTTGGTGTCATTGTCTATCTTTTTAACTGTTTCAAACTCAATGTTTGTCATTTTCTGTTTCTTACATACAAAATAAAAAAAATATTTTTTAAAAAACTAACTTTATTTTTTCTATTTTGTATCTTAAGGAAATTCACGATTTTCATGTATAAAAGATATGATTTCAGGGATTTTTTTTACGAAGTGTCAAAGTTCACTTCGTCAAAAAATAACAGTTATATAATGAAATTTAGTCATTTTTTCACGATTTTCATGAGTTTTATGCAAGACCAAAAAAAGTCTAAATCGCAATTTTTTACGATTTTCATGTATAAAAGATATGATTTCAGGGATTTTTTTACGAAGTGTTAAAGTTCACTTCGTAAAAAAAATACAGTTATATAATGAAATTTGGTCATTTTTTCAGCAAAAATATATTTTAGGCGACCAGGTCCCTCGGTCCCTCGGTCCCTCGGTCAACTAACATCTTTTTGAAAATGGTGACAACATGACATTTTGACAACAACACAGGAAATAGACTTCTTCGTATATGTTTTGTCAAAACTTCATCGTCAATGAGCGTAAATCAGACAAAAATATATTTCTACCATAAAGTTTTATAAGCGTTTTACATGGTATATGTTGTGATGGTTCATGACTTTAAACAGTTTTGTAGCTTCTATTTCTTCTTTTAGTACATCGAATGTTTTAACAATGCCGAAAGTTTCTTTATATTTCTTCTTGACATCAGATAGAAGGAAATCGTCAGCTGTTGGATAGTTTTTGTTCAGAAATGTCAACATGTCCATTTTATCTTCTGCTGGTTTCTCTACTTCTTTCTTTAAGTCAGCATAGTCGTTTCTCATACGTTCTATCTCTTTGACGGAGTAGTTATATTTCTTCATTGCTGCTTTACATTTTGAACATTGTGGGTTCATTTTAGCATTGTACATTGAAACCTTACCTGCTAGTATGACTAAGGCGTAAATGGTTTTCTTTAACTCAAAGGCTGCTGGTTTTATCTGTTCATTCCATACTTTACCTCTTCTATCTTTATCTCTTATCTGCCATACACATTTTGCAACTAACGAAACAAAGTTGTCGTAGGTCTTAAACTCTTCAGATTTGTATATGTCAATGAAATATACCATGTCGCAATCTTTGTGGTTGCAATGAAATCCAAGAAACTCATAGTTTACCTTTCGTATGAACTTCTTTATTTCTACCGAGTCAGTTGCTTTGACTTCTATTTCATCGAATTCAGGAATAGTAAGCTTTTGTTGTTGTATTTCAGGAAGTTTAGGTAGATGGTCAATAATATCCTGCATTTCATAAAGATACTGTTCATTTGTTTCATCTTTCGCAGTGCAATCTAAATCTCCTTGGAGAAGTTCCTGCTTTATCTTCTGGATTTCTGTTTCGAAAGTATATGAAGAAGGAATGAAGCTTTTCATCTCTACTAACATTGAAGTTGGGTTCATGACTAACGAGTTTGGTGCTGTTGTTGCTAACATGTTCTTACAATAAAAATAAAAAATATTTTTTTAAAAAAACTAACTTTATTTTTTATCTTAAGGAAATTCATGAAAATTCAACGGACATTGTTCTGAAACAGTACAAATATTGTTCTGAAACAGTACAAATATTGTTCTGAAACAGTACAAATATTGTTCTGAAACAGTACAAATATTGTTCTGAAACAGTACAAATATTGTTCTGAAACAGTACAAATATTGTTCTGAAACAGTACAAATATTGTTCTGAAACAGTACAAATATTGTTCTGAAACAGTACAAATATTGTTCTGAATCAGAACAAATATTGTTCTGAATCAGAACAAATATTGTTCTGAATCAGAAAATTTTTCTCACAAATTGAGAGCTTTGACGGGAAATATTGTTCTGAATCAGAACAAATATTGTTCTGAATCAGAACAAATATTGTTCTGAATCAGAACAAATATTGTTCTGAAACAGTACAAATATTGTTCTGAAACAGTACAAATATTGTTCTGAAACAGTACAAATATTGTTCTGAAACAGTACAAGACTCGTTCTGAAACAGTACAAGACTCGTTCTGAAACAGAACAATGGACAACATCGAGCCATTAGATGAGGTAATTTACCTTATAGAGATAAATGAAGTTGTTAAGCAGTACTTGGGCAAGGACAAAGCCAACAAGTCCCTCGGCTTCTGGTTGTCTGGAAGAGGTGCCTTGAATCTCGAGACTTCGACTGGAATTCCAATTCAAATACCAGACGGGACAGCCTACGACAACATAAAGGAGATGAAGAAAGAAGCTCTTCTCAAGTTCTTTGCCAAGCGTCCTTGGATACTACTTCCAAACAGAGAGAACCCTTTCCCAAGAATGAACCAAATTCTCCGAGGACTCTTACACTTCTCGGGTCAGCCGTTCTACATAACTACAGAAGGTGACATCCAACCAGTTCAGTAAACATCTCATTTTAACTCACTTTTTTCTATCTTAAGGAAATTCATGAAAATTCAACGGGTGACAAAACATATACGAAGAAGTCATGACAAAACATATACGAAGAAGTTTATTTCCTGGACTGTTGTCTAAATGTCATGTTGTCACACTTTTTCAGAGAAGTTCGTTTAACCGAGGGACCGAGGGACCGAGGGACCTGGTTCCACCTAAAAACCATCTACCCTAAAATATATTTTTGCCGAATTCAATAAAAATAAAATGGTTCATTTACTCAAAATATTTTTGTACAAAAGGACCCCAACCTTTTAACCTCTCTTCTGTAGCTTCTAATGAAACTTTAGCGAGTTCATATTCTCTAAATTCTCTCTTTAAATCTTCTTGTTCCCATTGGTTTAGTTCGTATGGAGAGTCTCTATAACCAGAACATATCTCATGTTCATGTTCTATTTGTTTTTCATGCATTTTTCTAACTTCTTCTTCGAACAAAGGTTTAGCATTCTCTACTGTATCTTCAAGTTCTTCTTCATCTAATTTCTCATGAACTTTCTTGTCTATGGAGTCCATAATTTTTCCAACTGCTATGCAATATTTTGGAGAAGCCCACATTGCTATATAGTTTACGAGTCTTGGGTCTACATACGTTCCTCTAACCTGTTTGATTTCATCGGGAATTCCTGCATTAACATTGTATAAAAAGCACCTGCCGGAATTCCGGCAGGTGGTATATTCTTCACAAAATGCCTTAAAATACTCTTCCCAGGACTTATTTTCCAACAACTTTCTAAAGTCTTTCCTAAACTGTTGACACATATTTGTTGCATTTATATAACCATCCTTGTCTCTACGTAAGACTTCAATACCGTTGTAAGTGCCTTTTGTGAATGTTTCGCCATTAGATTTGTTCGTGAACGTTTTTGCTTCGACTGTCATTTCAGTTCTTACAATAAAAATAAAAAATATTTTTGGGTGGTACGTCGGACATTCGTTTGTGGCTTAACCGTCGGACATTCGTTTGTGGCTCGACCTCAAAACAAGCATTTCGTGAAGAATATACCACCTGCCGGAATTCCGGCGGGTGCTTTTTTATACAAAATTCAACGGGTGAAAGAATACGATGAAATCTACTTCCTGGACTGTTGTCAAAATGTCATGTTGTCACACTTTTTCAGAGAAGTTAAAATGACCGAGGGACCGAGGGACCGAGGGACCTGGTGAGATCTAAAATATATTTTTCAATACTTTTTCAGCACTTTTCCGTAGTTGTATATGAAAGACAATTCGAGATAAAAGTCATAGTATAGTGGTATTATATGCTGCACACCGTTTGTTGTGAACCAGACTTGAAAGTCAGAGAAACTGTTACTAGGTGGTTCGTAGAATTTAGAAGCAAAGTCATAAAAGTCCTTACCAATACATAGAAAACTATTGTTGCTTGAACTGAAACTTGCATGGCACATAACATTTTGAGGGTCAAACACGTTTCTATAAACTGTCAAATCTGCTGGTGGAAGTATAAATTTAAATGGACCATCTGGTGGTAATGGTTCGTTCTGGTTTAGTAACCGAAGAAATTGTGCCCAAGAACGTTTGTCTACTTGCCAAAATAAAAACTCCGTATCTCTTGGAGGGTTAATTTCAATCTTTTGAAATGAAACGGTGGAGTTCATCTTGTCATATTCTAGTTTCAGATAGTATGTTCCATTTAGTAAAGAGTCGTATTTTTCTTGAAATTCCCAATAGTATTTGTTTATTTGAGTTTGAAAGTCATTTAGAGTTTTCTCAAGACTTTCGTCTGAACGAACTGTAAAGATTCTCATTTCGTCAAATTTGTCTATAAGACCATCAGAACCTTTATACTGCCCATGAAAATATACTGCGAACATAAACGCGTTAGTTCTATTTGAAAACAAAACTCTTCTAAATCCTATTGCCTTTGCATCTGAAGGACTTTGAAGCCAACGAATTGGATAGTCAAACCTGTAAGCTCCGGATGAAATTTCTTCATCTGATATAGTCCTGCCAGCGTTTGTAAAGATATAGTCTAACGGTTTTGTATCTGCTACTTTTGTTCTTTGTTTTTCAACCTGAAGCATTTTATATATGTAAAAATATACTGTTTTAAAAACGTTTTAAAATGGTATGCCATATAGCTTCTTGAATTTGTTAAGAAATATTTTAACGTTTTTTCCATCTGTATCTCTAGTGTTTACATAAGCATAGCCTTCCTTAGTAAAACATACTTGTAATTTCCTATAGTTTACGCCGGTATAAAAGTAGAAAGAGTCTTGTTCTTCGCTATAGTAGTAAAACTCAAACGTATGCTCGCCATAGTCTGTAATTTCAATTGCTTCATCTTCTAGTTCGTCGACAAATTCGAATACAATATCTCGAAATTTGCCTATGTTCTTACTGTTTTCAGAACAAGTGACCCAGCGTAAGTTTTCAAGTCTATTGTCATTTCTTATATGGTTTATATGGTCTACAAGAGGTAGATTGTTAGGGTTTGGTATAAAATGAGTTGCAATGACAACATGTTTAAGATAGCGTTTCCCACTCATACTCATCATAGCATATCCGTTATTTTGCTCCCATTCGCTTAAAACTCTTTTTGTCTCTTTTTTTCTGACTTCAAATGACTCACAACAGTGAATTTCATATTTCTCATCTAACAAACAAGTTTCCCAACGGTCCTTTCCAACAAACTCAGCGTACATTTCAAATAAAATAAAAAAATATTTTTTTTTGAAAAAATGTTTTATTTTAAATGGTATGCCATTTCATATTTCTCATCTAATTTCTCATGAACTTTCTTCATCTAATTTCTCATGAACTTTCTTCATCTAATTTCTCATGAACTTTCTTCATCTAATTTCTCATGAACTTTCTTCATCTAATTTCTCATGAACTTTCTTCATCTAATTTCTCATGAACTTTCTTCATCTAATTTCTCATGAACTTTCTTCATCTAATTTCTCATGGACTTCATCGTCAATGTTTTTGTTAAGACATCTTCATCTATGTTTTCCCAACGGTCTTTTTGCGACAGACTCAGCGTACATTTCAAATAAAAATAAAAAAATATTTTTTTCTCTTTACTTTACATAACCGCCTGAAGCCATAAGTCTTTGACGCCAACCCATACCAGCTAATGAAGGTTGACTTGGTTTAGTTTGGAAACTAAACTTTGGTTTTGGTTTATCTTCAGTTTTTGGTTTCTCTTCTTCTATCGGTTTTTCGTCACTTTTCGGTTCCGCTGACTTTACCTCACTTGCAGGAATAGTTGTGTCGTCAACATCTTCATAAATATCATATGCCATTTGTTTTTGTTTTCCTTTCAACTTTTTGTGTTTGTTGTAAAGTTTAGAATATTTCGACTCTAAGTCAATGAGATGTTCTATAATGAACTGTTGGTCAGTGAAGTAAACTTTTCCATCTGTTGTCTCGAAAGCTCCTTCAGACTTCAATATTTTATTTGTGAGAGTCTG